CCTACTCCACCGCCCTAACACAGAAGAAAGAGTTAACTTGGGGCCAGCAGGCGGCATGGTGGTGAAGGCTGACCACGGTTCAAGTCTCAGACCTGAAGGCGTGCTTTCTCACTTTCTCTGTCTCTGTCTCACTCTGCTGAGCACACGTGCCCTATAGTAAATTTAAAAGAAAAATAATAAATAAATTAAAAAATAATTAACTCCAATAACTTCTTAATATAATAGTTTGCATTTCTTTTAAAAAATAATTATTTATTTAATTGTATTTATAATAATAATTATTATTATTCTGAACAGAGAGAAAAGAGTGGGGGGCCTGCAGGTGGCATGGTGGTTAAGAGTGCTGGACTCCCACATGGCCGACTACGGTTCAAGTCCTGGATCTGGCAGCTTGCTTTCTCACTTTCCTCCTCTCTTTCTCTCTCTTTCTCCGTCCCTTTCTGATCAAATTTAAATAAGTAAATAAATAAAGTTAAATAAAATAATTATTAAAAAAAAAGAAAAGAGTGGGAAGGCAAGCTGCCAGTCCTGGGACTCAAAACGTGGTGGGCCAACTGGAAGCCCAGCGCCCCAAGTGCCACGGCATCTGCTGGCCCTGCGGGTTATGTTCTGAGGACAAAAGTGACTGCACGGGGACCTGGAAGTGTCTTCTGTAGGTCGTGCGGGGAAGGGGGCTGCCGTGTAATCCTGACGCTGTCAGGTGGTCTTTTAGAACAGAGCAACTGTAACCGAGAAAGTGACTTGGCCCAGCCTGGGTGGCGCAGAGCTGGTACCAGGCTCGAGGCCGGAGGCTGCGCAGAGGCGGTGCTGGCTCCCAGAGCACCCCGCACACAAGGGCGCCCTCGGCGTGCCGGTTGTCCTAGCTCATCGGGGAGCTGGGGCAGGACGGTAACCGCACACTAGGCCCACCAGACATCCCCACCTCTCATTCCCTCTCCTACAAAGAAGAAAAACAACAAAATACTGACTCACTGAAGACAAGGGTTCCTTGCGGAGAAAGGGGACATTAGGTTGTACCACACAGACTTGCCACTTTCTGTGGATCAGAGACAGCTGTTGACGGTTGCATGCGATTGGACCAAATGCAGGTGTGCACAGAGGGAAGGGGGGAGGGCTGGGCGGGGCTCTGAGCCCAGCAGAAGCATATGCGCCAGCTGCTCCGGTGGAAGGCAGTGAGTGACCCAGCAGTGAGGGGTTCCTAAACCCCATGTCCCTGTAACAGGGAGTGGAGCTTCCCTGAGGCATGGCTGAAGCAGGGCCAGGGCAAGGACGAGGTGTCTTGTCGTGGTGGCAGTGTTGAAAGAACACGGGACCAATGTTACTGGGACAGACCTGAGGGCCAGCTCCGGGCTGAGAGCGGTGGCACCCTGCCTGCGTGGTGCAGCGTGCGGTGGTCCGAGGACAATTTTCCTTGCTGTCAGGAAATACCCTCCAAGTACTCCGTGGGCCAGGGCGTGAGGTCTCCAGCGTACTCTCGAGTGGCCCAGAGAAGTTTACCTGTGCACAGACAGAGTGAGCAAGGTGGAAGCAGCTGGCTGGTTTGAAATGATATAAAGGTGTCATCCTGGCCCCAGCAGGTAGCATAGCAGTTAAGGTGCTAGACTTCCACATGGCAGATCATGGTTCGAATCCCAGACCCCGTGACTTGAAATTCATGCCAGGCACATGTACATGTGTGCCCAAAATCCTGAGAGGAGAATGGAGGAGAAGGAATTGCCCCCATGGGGGTGACACTTTCTCTGTCTCTCTCTCTCTGGTGAGCACACGTGCCCTACAGCAAAAATCTCTCTTCAGAAAAAAATCTCATCCTGGGACTAGCAGATGGTGAAGCAGTTACATCACTGGACTCCTACATGGCCAACCGTGGTTCGAGTCCCAGACCTGGAGGCTTCACTCACACTGGGTGTGTCTGCTTGCATGTCCAAGATCCTAGGAGGAGAATGGAGGACAAGTGATTGTGGCACGGCCTTCCCCCCAGGGGGTGATTTCTTGCTTTCTGTCTCTCTGGTAAGCACATGTGCCCTTTAGCAAAAATCCCTCTCAAAATAAATAAATAAATAAATAAATAAATAAATAAATAAAGTTGTTCCACCCTCCCCAAAGAAGTTGAGCCAGCTGGAAGGAGCCGTTGTCAGTTACATGGGGACCAGTTCAGATATCAAAACGAATAATGATTGCATTAGAAAATACAATATGAATTCATATCAGTATTTAAGAATTTAAAAAATAATTATTTAATTTTATTCACTCATTCATTTCTTTTAATTTGATCAGAGAGAGACACAGAGAGATGGGAAGAGAGACAGCAAGCCACCAGATCAGGACTGGAAGCACAGTCGGCCGTGGTGATGTCCAGCACCCTGACTGCCACACCGCCTGCTGGCCCTCAAGATGTTTTTTAAAGGAAAAATTTTTCTTGACCAAAAGACAACAGCGGCAGACGGAATGGTAAATGGGGAAGCTGGTAACTTCACATCTGTGAACGTAATCATGAATGTGCTCACCGACCCGCGATGAGACCCTCGAGGGAACGGCTGCTGGGAAGGCACGTTTGTGGTCTCAAATGGTGACCCCCACAGCTTATGTCTCCACAAGGTCCTAGGAGCTTGCCTGGGAGGAATCTGGAAGACCCCACAGTGACCAAGTGGTCAGACTTCATGTCCTCAGTAGGGGGCAATCTGGTCTCCTGGGGGGTCCCGATGGCCTGTCATTCTGGCCCTCACTGGCCCAGGCCTCTCCATCCCAGCATCCAGACATTGGGGGGGCCTAAATAAACAGGCTTGGGGCCAGAAGACAGTGTAATGGCTATGTCGCTGGACTCCCACATAGTTGACCACGGTTCAAGTCCCGGACCCGGTGGCTTAAACTCACACCGGGCGCGTGTGCGTGTGTGCCCAAGATCCGGAGAGGAGAATGGAGGAGAAGGGATTGTGGCGTGGGCATCACCCTGGGGGGTGATTTCTCGCTTTCTGCCTCTCTGCTTCTCTTTCTGGTGAACAAAGACCTCTCCAAAACAACAACAACAACAACAACAAAACCCAAAAGGAGAAGGGACTGTGGTGCAGCCATGGCCCTGACGGTGATTTTTCTTTTTCTTTTTTGGAGAGGTTTTTGCTATAGGGCGTGTGCGCTCACCAGACAGACAGAGAGAGACAGAGAGACAGAGAGACAGAAAGCAAGAAATCACCCCCCAGGGGGGATGGCCACACGCAATCCCTTCTCTGTTCTCCTCTTGGGATCTTGGGCACGAACGCACATGTGCCCGGCGTGAGTTTTAAGCCACTGGGTCCAGGACTCGAACCACAGTCGACTACATGGGAGTCCAGCGACATAGCCATTACGCTAACTGCTGGTCCCCCGACGGTGATATTTCACCCTCCCTCTCCCACCCCCCTGGCAAGCGCAGGCATCCTATAGCAAAATCTCAAAACAAGATGAAACAGACCTACCTACCTACTAGTGGTGACTGTGTGGCCAGCTGAGGCTCTGCGGTAGTGGTGTGTGGATGGGAGGGTTTCACAGTTTTCTCCCGTGTGCATGCAGGTGTGTGACACTGGTGTGTCATCTATAGAGAGTGTGACAGTGCCACACATAGGAGGTATCCTTAGAATAAGCCATGGCAGGTGACAGCACAGCCCTGCGACTGCTGTGGTGCTTGCGTCCTGGGGTGTCCGCAGGAGCTGGACTGAGTGCACAGTAGGCAGCCTAGCTGCAGCCAGCAAGGGCCGGCAGAGCAGGAGCAGAAGGTGGGATGGGCCTGGGGAGACCCACCTGCCAGTGCAGGCGGGAGCCAGGCCAACGGGAGCTAGGAGCTAGTGGGCCAGGGGCCAGATGGGAGGGTGAGGGTTAGGGCCGAGCTGGTTTTGGGGCTTGTGTGCCCCTTGCAGGCCTTCAGGCTAACCGGGCTCTTGGCGGCACCTCCCCACCCAGGCCACAGGCAATTTGGCCCCACGGTGGAGAGGAAGCGAGGTGAAACGCAGGAGGCTCAGCAGAGGGGGGTGTAGTGGGGCGGGGCCACCCCGTGTTGTGGCGGTCAGGAGGCGGACACTGACCACAGGGACAGGAGTGCAGGGACGGGCCCAGATGCTGGCGTGTAGGGGCTGGCAGGTGCCCATGAGGGCAAGGCATGGAGAATGCCCAGCGGGGGCGGCTCGGCCAACAGGCTGGGTCGGGGTCACGGCGGCTGGCCGCGGGCCGAGTGAGAACGGCT